GGATGGCATGGGAGCCTCTGGTTTTGCTTTGTAGAGAACTCTATATGGCATCCCCGTTTAGTTTGCTCGGATGTCTGTGCTTGGGTTTTCATGCTCATACCAGAAAGCACTTAAATCTTCTGCGTGTAAACACTGTATGCATTTTTTTCTCTCAAGTTAATGACCTTTATTTGATTGAGTTGCAGCGAATTATAGACATTTGGAGTGGTGGCGTGAGATAATTAATTCTTACCCGCTCTGTATGCAGCTCCTTATCGGTTATAGGGATTTGATTAAGCACTTTGAGATCCTTACATCTGCTATGCAATAGTGCAGGCAAGTTTAAAAGCATATTCTTGCAAGAGAGGCGTTACAGTCACACCTTAAAACATACCCCCAACCACACTCCTCTCTCGTTACGGTGCACTGTGGCTCATTTTATTTTTTAAAAAAAAATTCTCATGTGGGCCCCATTGCATTGTAGCCAGAGAGGAGTGTGGTGTAAGGGTGTGCCTCTTGCATTTTCCTTCTTGTAACGTGCTGTCACCACCAATAAGGGGCTCACCAACAATAAGGGCAAGTTATAAATCGAAGATAATTTATGAAAGGGTTTTTCTAATGGGTGTCCTTGATGCTCATTAGAGGATGAGAGAGTTTCTCTAATGCGTGTTCCTGGATGCTGGGTGTTCGGTAAGGAGAGAAATTAGTGCAAATCACTTGTATTAATTTCTCTCCATCTTTCTCGTTCCCTAATGAATGCCCATGGACAGTCTTTGGAGAAAAAAAACGTTTTTTTTTTTTGAAGTAGTCAGCTAATCAGGAGCATTTAATTAGGATAGAGGCGCTAAGCGTTGTCCATTTTTCACGCTTTGGTAGTTGGTACATGATAAAAGTTCATAGATTTTTTTTCTAATGATTAGATTTTATGATCATTTTGTGATTAAAAAAAAAGAAAAGAAAGTTCCCCGTGTATTTTTTTGAAACTTGATCCATAATACCAGAATGTAAGCAATTTTCTTTTTTTTGGGTCAGAAACTTAGACAATTGAATCCAAATACTAGAAAGATATCAACAAAGCTTTCTATCTAATCAAACTGTGATCTTGCAAATGGAAACAGTTCAGTATTAGATCATAAACAAAACAAGAAGAACATAGTAAACTTCCTATTAAAAAAAAAAGGAGTATACTTCATATCGGCTGGTTTGCTTTTACTGCAAAGTGTCTCATCCTCGAAGACTAGAGCGTTTTGATGACCCAAATCGAAATCTTTAGCTCCTCCCGTATCTGAATTTTTAAGAAAGTCTTAGAACACAGTTCGAGAAGGACATGGATTTGATGTTGGCTTACCGATTTTTAAAAAAGAAAAAAAAGAAAGAAAGTGTAGGAAAAAGTGTATAGAATATCAGATCCACAGTTAACGATACACCAAAGCAGAAAAAACCACAGAGAAAGAAAGACAAAGAGCAAAAAACAGACAAGAATACCATTATAGTAAACTTAAGGGAGAAATACTTCACAAAAATATTGAATCACCCTTTGAACAGAGGACTAACATTGAAGAAATAATGCCTAACCTCTGAGGTAGCGGTGGGACTACACAATACTTCCGAAGATGAAACTGTTGCGGTCCAAAGAAGCGCTCTCTTTGAACACCTCGACTGCCACTTCACTTCGTCGAAGTCTCCAAAGCCAGCAGCTAAAGAACAAATGATGGTAATTGGCTGTTAATCACAGCATTTGTAAATGTCTACATTAACTCCATTGACTGTCATTCAAGCCTTGTAACCTATGTAAGGTTTGAAACATTCAGGCTAGAATAATACATCACAAGCAAAAACAAAAGCAATATTTGGACCCGTGCACTTGCACTTGCTCGCTCGCTCACTCGCTAGCATGGCAACACAAATGTGCATTCTAATAACTTTGTCATAATATGTATAACGGTATGTTACTTTAAACCGAGTAACACGCATCGGATTAGTCAATGTAGGACTAGTACTCACATACCACTAATTAAGCATATTTTTTTCATCTATGGAATTCAACCATATAAATGGTATCCTTTCAAAGAATATTTTCACATAAATCCTCTAATGTCCCATTTATATTAACAATCACCCACAATTCCATAGCTGAAAGTAAAGAAGAGTGAATTCAGAGAGGGTATCTTCCAATTTGAACCTTCCCTATATCTATCCAACCTTACCACCACAAGCACAAAGTGAAACTAAGTCTTGAACTTGAACCTTTGATGTGGTGATGTTCATTAGTAACAACAAGATATAGGCTGTAGTAGCAATCTTTAAGTTAGATGCATTTTCAAGGAATAACCCACTTCCTCTAATTGCGGCTGCAATATCATGTTCACATAGTTGGGCATCTCTAGGGAGGCACTGAATGGATTTCCTTTAAAAGACTCAGTCCTGTTCAGAGTCAAACACTTTTACAAATCCCAGGAGTAAACAACACCTTCCATGTATATTTGGGGATAGACTCAAATACAAAGTATCCATCTATGATTAGGTGCTCAATTCACCCAACAACTTGTTGACATTGAGCCTACTTTGTGCAATTTCTTCAAATATGTTGGGTTGCTATTGTCGATAAATTAGGTAAGCGTTTCAGTCTCATCCCCAACTTGGATTTAAGAACTAATGACAACTCAAGTCCTTTGGTAAAGGGATATGTTGTGTTGTCCTTGGACTTAACAAAGTCCACCACTATCACGCCTTCATCCACGAACTTTTTCACGGTCTTTATACACACTTGGATATGACCTCGAGTCTTGTGGTTGTACTTTGAGCTCGTAATCCCTACAATTGTGATCATATTGTCACAATGCATAGAAATTACAAGAATAGGTTTGTTGATCATATGCAACTCAGATGTAAGTCCCTTATGCCATTCAGCTTTTAAACTAGTAGTATCCAAAGCATGCAACTCAGCCTCAAAAGTAGACTAAGACAATATGGTCTGTTTGACAGACCTCCAGGCGACAGCACCGCCACCACAGGTAAATACATACTTGATCGGGGGTAAATAATATAAAGTTACAAGTATGCAACAATCAAGTTATAGTGTAGTATGGATGTCGAACCCATGAGGAAAATGTCTTTAAAAATTCTAAATTTGGTCCTAGAAAATTATGGATAAAAAGGAGTGAGAGTGAAAGTATGGAGATGTAGAGATGAATTTATCATTAGAAAACTAGAAAACTAAAACAAGATGGAAGAAAGAGAGGAGGACAAAGAAAAACAAAAAAGAAGCTAAAAAGAAAATAAAAATGGAAATAAGAAAAGAGAAGAAATTAAGAAGAAGAGAAAAATTAACAAGATAAAATCAAGAAGAGACGGATCAAGAGAGAGAAAAAAAATCAAATCGAAAAGATTGAGGAAAAATACGTAGAGAAGTTAGGAATCTAGAATTAAATCCACTAGCTAATTTCAATTAGAATTTATGAACTACTCTATTTTTATCATATTTTACTTTAGATTTACTAATTAAGTATGGATTATCAAACCCCTTATAAAAAGCATAATCTATCAAATTATCATTAAAGCAAAAATTCTCATTCATGAAAAGGACAAGAAACTAGATAATAATCCTAGAAATGGATAAGCATAACCTATCAAATCACTCAAGATAAGCATAGATTATTAAACCTTTTTTTACAAAATTAGTTCTCAAATTGTTTATTCTAAACGTGATCATTTTAAGCACAAAGAAAGCAATCCATAAACTATAAAAAAACTAGTTTCAAATAATTTTAGATTGTCGATAAGAATTAGTTACCCATTTTGCAAAATAAAAATAAGACAATAAAATCTATACTAGTAAGCATAAAAAAAGAAGAGGTAAATCTAAAGTACAAGCAATAAAAGAAAGAAAATCAAAGTATAAAAGATCAAAGAAAATAAATATACTCTATAAGCATAAAAAAATTACACTACATGTATGAAATAAATCTTTACAAAACATGAAATTCTAAAATAAAAAAATAAAAGGGGAAAATAAAAAAACTACATTGCAAGGGGTTACCTCCTTGAATGCAAATCTTCATCTTCATCATTAAAGAGTAAGAAAGGAAAATCTAAAAGGAGAAATTTTTTGTTATTTATTGCAAACAAAAAGTTTATAATTTTTGAAAGATCTTCTCAATTAAGATTAACTCTCTTCTTTAAGTAGATTTTACAAAAAATTTCACACCCAAACCCCTCTCTTTACCCGTGTTTATAGCCTACTACAATCAACAAGAGCCTTTGGACCATTCTTGAGCTCCAAGAAAATTAAAAGCAATCATTGATTGAATTTTGTTACAATCTAATTGATGGGCTAATCGATGGGCTCATCTATAAGTTCGTTAATTAATTTATAATAGAATTGTAACAAACTTTATTGACTTCGATGACTCCACATTCATATGCTAAATAGACTTCTTGGCTTGATCTTGGGCTTCAATAAAAGGTTAAAAATTGAGCGAATTCGGTTCTTTTGGGCTTTTATTCACTAATTCTTCATTACCTGCAAATTAAGATAAAAATCATTATTAGACGATATGTTTATTCAAATAAAATAGTTAATGAAGGTACAAAAGTGTAATTAAATATGACGATCAATATCCCATACAACAATTATTAGTAGATCCCATAGCAATCCTGCTAGCATCACTATAACCCTCTAGAACAAGAGGGAATGTACCATAATATAGCAGAAGGGAAACTGTTTTCTTTAGATATCGAAGGATCCTATCCAGGGCCTCCCAAGCAGTCTTATTTGGATAGCTAGTGTGTTTACTCAATTTAGAAACCAAGTATGAAATATCCCGTCTCGTGCAATTTACAAGATATATCAAGCTTTAAATGATTTGAGAATATCTCAATTGAGATACAAAGACCCCACTTGCATTCTTTTAGA